CCTCCGGCATATGGGGCCAGGGCCCTACTCCTTCGAGCCACAGGCGCCTCCCAGAGTTGCCAATTTTCTGCTGACCACTGATGTAGCTGATCACCATGTAGGAAGAGCTGCTGTGAGATGAGAAACTACTTATAGACAGACTTGAGTTAGAGTGAGTTTAAGAAAGGAGAACTGCTGAGCTCTTGGGTAGATGTTAGGGCTTCACTGACCAAGTCCCCTAGCTATTGGGTTGCTAAGTACTTTTAGAATGACACTTACACCTTGGCTGATTATAAAGAAAGGGGGAACAGGTACCCAAAGATTTGTTGCTATCACCAGGATAGGGAAGAAAAAGACCAGATCCACAGGAATGATCTGCCTGTGAGAAGGGGACAGGTCTGTCCTTGTGTATTAGCTGTGTATGACTTTGAGCAGGATCTCTGATCAAATACTTCTCCACGCCCCAAGCATATCCTCAAGGCCCTAGAATATAGAAGTCCTCTGAACATGGGTCTTCACCTGATGTGGGAATCACTATTTTCTTCATTGCTTTTGAACCCTTCGATTTAGATCTTAATTAAAGCAGGCGGTATTTTAAGTGGGCTGATAACTATTTTGACATGACAGGTTTTTTGATAGTTGTATCCTAGGAAGAGTTGAAAGTAAGCTTTTTAAAATAAGGATTCTATTTGTCCTTTGCCCTCCAGGGTGTGTAGGTTGTCACTCCGAAGGTAAGCTGCAGACAGGGCAGTATCTGTTCAGGCTGATTTAAGATGATGCATGGTGTGACCAGCTAGAAGGGACAGCAGAGTGAACTTTAGACAGTCCCATCATGCTTACTGTATAGCAGGACAGTGGGCCTCTCTGCAGCTACTCTGCTCAGCTCTTAAATGAGGGCCTCTGGTCATATGGAAGGAGGGACGATTGTAGTTCAGAAGCATCGCAGCGCGGGGGCAGTAAACGAACTTCGGGAGCATCTTATCTTTATGTCTGTGCCATTAACGGAAATTATTTTGGATAAGGAGGAAAATATGCAGCAGGCACGAGAGGAAGAAGAACGTCGTAAAGAGGCAACTGCACATTTCCAGATTACTTTGAATGAAATCCAAGCCCAGCTGGAGCAACATGACATACACAATGCCAAGCTCCGTCAGGAGAACATCGAACTGGGAGAGAAGCTGAAGAAGCTCATCGAACAGTACGCACTGAGGGAAGAGGTAATGGCATTTGGTTTGTTTAAACAGCTTTGCAGGATCAGCAAAAGCTTCACTGTTTGCTCCTAAAGTAAAACCACTGTCACAGGATGTTTTCATAACTTGCATGTATGTATAGTGGAAGTCAGTTGCTTAATAGGAAAGAATCAGGTACTACATGACCAGAAGGACTAGTAGCGATCATCACTTGATGGTCCTGGAGTCACTGGATTTGGGACTATAGATATCCAGTACAATGCTTGACAGTTTTTTATTTTTAGTAGAGACAGGGATCTGCTCAGGCTGGTCTAGAATTCCTGAACTGAAGCTATCCACCTGCCTCGGCCTCCCAGAGTGCTAGGATTACAGGCATGAGGCACTGAGCCCGGCTGGTCTTATTTATTTATTTATTTATTTTATTTTATTATTTTTTTGGAGACAGAGTCTCACTGTGTCTCCCTGGGTAGAGTACTGTGGTGTCACAGCTCACAGCAACCTCAAACTCTTGGGCTTCAGCAATTCTCTTGCCTCAGCCTCCTAAGTAGCTGGGAGTACAGGCGCCTGCCACAGCGCCAGGCTATTTTTTTTGTTGTTGCAATTGTCATTGTGGTTTTAGCTGGCCCAGGCCAGGTTCGAACCTGCAAGCCTCAGTGTATGTTTCCTGTGAGTATCCCCTGTCCACACAAGGGCACTCAGGTTCAGTGTGGGGAGGAATTTTCCCAGGGCCATACCCTGGCCAGGGTGTGACATGGGCCATTCCTACCATCATGCCATGCTGCCTCTAGGTGAGAAATCTGAGAAAATTTCATAGAGAAAAAGGAATTGTGTGTGTGTTATGTGGGTGTAATAGTTGGCTCTCTTTATCCTGATGTAGTTTGAGTCTTATTTTCAGCAGAGGGCAGAAACAGGAAGTACAAAGCTGGTGACGGGCACTGGGCTGACAGGGCCAGGGCCAGGGCAGCACTCCTGTGGGTGTGGGTTGGTTTGCAGAGTAGCCACCCCCATTAGCACAGGGACTGAAAAACTCAGTGTTCTCAGCTACAGTGGTATTAGCAGGACAGCAGGGTAAACAGGATGCTGTGACTTCTGCTGTTTCCTCCCCACTGTGTTCCTTTCTTTGGTAAGTGATAGAAGGACTTTTGTTTTCCCGCAGCATATTGATAAAGTGTTCAAACACAAGGAACTGCAACAACAGCTTGTGGATGCCAAACTTCAGCAAACGACACAGCTGATAAAGGAAGCCGACGAAAAGCATCAGAGAGAAAGAGAGTTTGTAAGTTCGTCTTCTTTTTTTATTTGTGCAGTTTTGTGGGGTACATGTGAAATTTTGCTATAATGTGGAGTGATCAAGTCAGAGCACTTAAGAGTGTCCCATCTACCGAGCACAGTATATTTTTGTATAGTCAGTCCTCCGTTTTGAGAAATTATTGCCAAAATTGTAACCAAAGCTATTTAAAACATTTAAATTTACTCTACATTTACCATAGCACCCAGCGCACGATGGTCAGCTTTTTGCTCTAGATTGAGAAGAGAGAGGGAACACGAGTTAGAAAGCATTTTATTTGTATTTAACTTTTTATATAGAAAATACACTGGAGAGATTAGACCATGTCAGTGGAAAGACCTGTACTTACTTTTTTATTTTTCCTATGCTTATTTATTTCAGTTCTGAGGTAGTGGTCTTCAAATTTAAGAATTGTGCTAGGATTTAGCATATTAAATTTGGTAATTCAGTTTAATAACAGGCTTAGCAAACACAGGTTATGTTTTATTTCTAAACACGTAACCGGAAACTAGGGCAACCATTTGTTTACTCACTTTGGTATAATCTCTGATAAAATTTTAACAGAATCCTCTATACCCTAATTACTTAGCATCAGTTCCAGAGTGTTTGCTCACGTTATATTAGCCTGTCAATAATTGTGAGTACAGTGGAAATCTCACTGGGTATATATATTTAATATGTGCAAATTTATACATGCTTATCCAAAAAGATAATAAAAGTGAGAAATGATTATACTAATGTGGACTGTTTGATCCAGCATTCACTCAAGTAGCCAAGAGGCCACAAGGTGAGTGCAGTGTAAAGACTCACTTCCTGTGTGGCCCTTGTGATGTGAATCTGTCATGCTGAGTGTGAATCTGGGGCTCAGAGACGTCTTTCCTAGTATGGTCCTTTCACAGGAACTGACAATGGTATTCAGTGCTCACCTGAGAAATGGTTATCATTTCCAAAGGTGGACTACAAATTTTATACACATGCATGTGTGCACATGTATGTACCTTCTGGTTGGTTCAGTAGGACTTTTCTTTTTCTTTCTTTTTTTTTTTTTATTAAATCATAGCTGTGTACATTAATGCAGTCATGGGGTACAGTGTGCTGGTTTTATATACAATTTGAAATACTTTGATCAAACTGGTTAACATAGCCTTCATGGCATCCTCTTAGTTACTACGTTAAGACATTTATATTCTACATTTAGAAAGATTCACATGTACCCTTATAAGATGAACCATAGGTGTGGTCCCACCAATCACCCCCCTCCACCCATCCTCCCCTCTCCCCTCCCCTCCCCTCCCTCTCCCTTTTCCCCATATTCTTGGGCTAAAGTTGGGTTATAGCTTTCCTATGAAAGCTATAAATTAGTTTCATCAGTAGGACTTTTCAAGGCTTCTTTGGACTATGTATTTGACAATTTACTTCAGGGATTTACAACTGCCTACTATGCAACTTTATTATGTCGTTTTGTTGAAAACCCAAGTATTGTATATAGATGAAAGCATCCATCCCCACACCCCACCCCAGGGTTTTAAAAAATTACTTAAGAACCAGGTGTTGGATTTCATTGCTTTGCTCCAGACCCTCTCACCTTGCCTCATCTTGCCTCTCAGGGAGTAGAGGGGGCTTTCTAGGTCACCCAGATAATGTCAAGATTCCTAGCCATGTTTTCTGCTAATACTAGACATCTAATTATTTCACCTAAAATACAACAGTTGCTCTTTGTTTTGTAAATTTTATTAGGTCTCCAGGGTACTTTTTCTGCTTTAGCAGTAAAAGATTATTTCTTTGTTCCTAAGTATTAACAAGTGGGACAGATGGAAGACACGGATAAATGGTAGTTGTGAACAGAATGTTGTCGTCTATAGACTCGTGGTTCTTGCTAAAATACTGAGCAGAAGGGTAAAGCCTAACTGTATGGCCATTCAATGTCATAATTGTATTTGTTATTATTAGCATTTTACCAGAATGTTTCTGTTTTCTAGTTACTAAAAGAAGCAACAGAATCCAGGCACAAATACGAGCAAATGAAACAGCAAGAAGTCCAACTGAAACAGCAGGTAACTTGGCAGCAGAAGGTAGAATTTATAAGAAAAATGATGGTGCGTGTGATCATGTCTTGAATCTCCTCTAAGATGGTTTTGATTTTCCCCAGCCAGAGCTGACCAGAACTGAGGAAGAGATCACATGTCCCTTTTGGGTTTGTCCACTACTTCATTTAGGGTAACCAACTCATCTCTGTTTCCACAGTACTTCCTGGTTTTAATACTGACAGGTCCACGTCTCAGGAAATTCTTGGTTTCAGGGCAGACTGGGATGGTTGCCCAGGATAGATACTTGCTCAATTTGTTCCCAGTGTGTCACTTAATTTCCCACTGAAGGAAAACTGACAGATCTGCAGATTTTAGTCCTTTGTGTCAAGTTGAACCATATGAAATTGCTAAAGAAGTTAAGAATATTTGACTCCTTTGAGCTGTAAAATGACAATTTTGTATAGTTTAAACTATACCTTTAGAATTTTGTGCCGTGAGCAATAACCTATTTTGAAAACTACACATGGCTGGCTGTGGTGAGGCACGCCTATAGTCCCTGCTACTCCCGAGGCTGAGGCGGGAGGATCACTGGAGCCCAGGATTTAAAGGCAGCAGTGAGCCATGCTCACATCACTACACTCTAGCCTTGGTGACAGAGTAAAAAGAAAAAAGAAAAAGCCCTGCATAGGGCCACAGTGTGGCTCCCAGGGTAGTTGTGGTGGTGGTGTTTCTAAGCAGGGCCCTCCCTTTCCGTGCAGACCCTAGTGGGGGGCGGCCTCTCGGATCTCTGTGTAGTTGCCTCACGTGCAGTGAGAGTAGCAGGCGCTGGGTGGCGCCTGTGGCTCAAAGGAGTAAGGCACCGGCCCCATATGCTGGGGGTGGTAGGTTCAAACCCAGCCCCGGCCAAAAACTGCAAAAAAAAAAAAAAAAAGAGAGAGAGAGAGAGAGTAGCAGACGCTTTTTCCTTACTCAAAGCAAAGGTGCAGGAGAGACTTCCATCTTTACAGACAAAATTAGGCGTTTGTATCTATAATTCACTCTTTTTTCCGTTAACTAGATCACGTTCTGTTGAAGAGTGCCACTTATTTCAAAGGTTTACTATACTAACATAGTAAGTTTCTTTAATGTAAGGATTCTAAATTTGCCTTCAAATACATGGCTGGCTTGAGTCTTCCACCAGTACCTCTTTTGGAGTGCTATTTTTCTTTGGGAAAGTTTTACATTGTGGTGATGTTATCTTCCTCTAAAGCTAGTCTGACTTAGACTGAAAATTCCAATTCAGATATCAGAAATCTTTGCAACATTACACCGTAAGTTATGATCATGCTAGAAGGCACCTCGAAGATTCGAACCTTTACTTATCAGCCCTGTGCATTCGGTCATCCATGTAAACAAGGATGGGAATCAATGTGGAGGAGGTGTAAAGTATACAGCCTGGTGCGATGGCTCACACCTGAAATCCTAGCACTCTGGGAGGCCAACACAGATGGATTGCTTGAGCTCATGAGTTCAAGACCCCAGCCTAAGAAGAACAAGAATAAAAATAGAAAAATTAGCTGGGCATTGTGGCAGGCGCCTGTAATACCAGCTACCCATGAGGCTGAGACAAGAGGATCTCTTGACCCCAAGAGTTTGAGGTTGCTGTGAGGTATGATGATGCCATGGCACTCTACTCAGGGCAACAGAGTGAGATTGTCTCAAAAAAAAGAAAACAGTGTTCTTGAACATGGGAGTCATTGATAATGCTGCAGTAGAAGTCACAGAGCCCCCCCAGGCCTGCTCTGCTTCTGTTGTCTGTTATCTGTACCACCCTGAGTCATTTCGTTTCTTTTGGTGTCACCTCCTTTTCCTGCTACCTAAATGTGGTTGTCCTTCCCTAGAGTGTCCCATTTTCTGTGCTTACTATGTTATTTCCTAAATTTGAGTGCACTTCTGTGGGATGTTAGAACTTAGCCATCTATGTCTGATGTCCAAGCATTGGGTATGGATTTGTTTTTAGAAACGCTTACAACAAATCATATCTAACTATATTTTCCTTTGGAAGTTGGGGAATTTGAATTGTTTACATGGAACTCAGAATATTTCGTACTTTTTTCTGTAGCTTTCTCTGTATATGGATAAGTTTGAAGAATTCCAGACTACCATGGCAAAAAGCAATGAACTGTTTACAACCTTCAGGCAGGAAATGGAAAAGGTATTTGCATGTTTTTAGTAGACTATTACATAAAAAGGAATTTATATAAGCTATTTTAAGTATGATTACTGCTTAGATGAATTATTTGTTTTCGTTTTTTTGTTGGTTTTTTTTTTTTTTTTGAGACTGAGTCTCAGTTTGTTGCCCCTAGAAGAGTGCTGTGGTGTCATAGCTACAAAACCTCAGACTCCTGGGCTCAAGTGAGCCTCTTTTTTTTTGAGACAGAGCCTCAAGCTGTCCCCCTGGGTAGAGTGCTGTGGCATCACAGCTCACAGCAACCTCCAACTCCTGGGCTCAAGCGAGTCT